GGGGGGGGTGTCAGAGCACGTGACACCGAGCCTGGATACAATGTAACGAAGAACAATGAGCCGCATCCGCTGCCACACTGACCTGTCACCGGGGATCACCGACACATGGGAGGAGGAAGACACCGAACGCAGCCCCGTCCACCGACCCAGCACCGACAAACGTAAACAATGAGCTGATCCAACACATGACAGGAACAAAACGTTCCACCGACAGAAACGTTCCCTATCCAGAGCAATGCAGACAGCGACACCTAGTGTCCACAATCGGAACTGCAGGGCGCCGCACAGCCCAATGATCAGACGGTACATTTTTAGTCATTTATTTATTTGTTTTCAAAACATACAACAAAAAATAAGAAATATCCCCAAAATCAGATCCAAACCCTGAGCCTGGGTTCACACCAGCTAAAGCGGTCCATTTTAGCGCGGCAGTCACAACGTAAGGCACCATTTATTAATTTCTTTCACTTTATTGGCAGTGTGCAAAGTGTACACTACATTCAGGTCCCAGCGCTGTGGTGTGAACGGGGCACATAGAAATCAATTATTATATGCATGCTCTTTAGGGTTGCCACCTTTCCTTCAAGTGAAGCCCGAACATTCTAGCGTCGCGTGCTGCAAGTTTTTAATTTTTGGGGGAGAATATAGTGGAGAGAGCAAGGAGAGACAGCCGGGGAGGAAGTAAGGAGACCGGCTATAGAGAAGCAAAAATCCCAGCAATAAAAAATAATATGAAGCTACATACTTTGTTTTGCTCTGGGGCGGGCCTGATGTCTCCAGGGTCTCATGTGGCCTCTGCAGGCTCTCACCAGGCTATGCGGGCTCTCGTGTGGCCTCTGCAGGCTCTCACCAGGCTATGCGGGCTCTCGTGTGGCCTCTGCAGGCTCTCACCAGGCTATGCGGGCTCTCAGGTGGACTCTGCGGGCTCTCAGGTGAACTGCACAGATTCTCTGGTGGGCTGCGCGGGCTCTCAGGTGGACTCTGCAGGCTCTCAGGTGAACTGTACAGCATGGAGCGCGTACAGCCCCGTGCAAGGCCGTATCGGGCAGCTCCTGGGAAGGACAGGTGCTGCGTGTGATTAGTACTCAGCCCCCGTCCTTCTCTATGGGACTACACGGCTGTACGTCGCCCTACGGTCACCCGCCATGTGGCCTCTGCAGGCTCTCACCAGGCTATGCGGGCTCTCGTGTGGCCTCTGCAGGCTCTCACCAGGCTATGCGGGCTCTCAGGTGGACTCTGCGGGCTCTCAGGTGAACTGCACAGATTCTCTGGTGGGCTGCGCGGGCTCTCAGGTGGACTCTGCAGGCTCTCAGGTGAACTGTACAGCATGGAGCGCGTACAGCCCCGTGCAAGGCCGTATCGGGCAGCTCCTGGGAAGGACAGGTGCTGCGTGTGATTAGTACTCAGCCCCCGTCCTTCTCTATGGGACTACACGGCTGTACGTCGCCCTACGGTCACCCGCCCTGCACATCTGTGCGGGTGTCTGTACTCGTACGCTGTCAGTGTGGATCCTGTCTGCGTCCGAGCCGGGACACCCGCACCCGTATGGACCTGCACTTGGGGTGAGCTTAGGGCGGCGCACGGCCACGTATTCCCATAGAGAAGGACAGGGGCTGAGTACTAATCACACGCAGCACCTGTCCTTCCCGGTGCTGCCCAATACGGGGCTTTACGCGCCGGCCTTTTCACGTGTGAATGAGGCCTAAATCCCAAAGGTGCTCAGTTGGGTTGAGGTCAGAGCTCTGTGCAGGACACCGAAGTTCTTCCTGGCCGAAATGGTCACACCGTGTCTTTATGGAGCTGGCTCTGTGCACAGGGGACAGTCATAGTGGAACAGAAAAGGGTCTTCACCAAACTGTGACCACAAAGCTGGAAGAGTGCAATTATCTACAATGTCTTTGTATGTTGTGGTATTAAAAGCACCCTTCACTGGAGACTCCTGAACTCCATCATTTGGAGGGGTTCCCACTTAGTTTTCTAGTATAGTGGAGGTGTGATGGTCAGGTGTCCTTGCACTTTTGGCAATACATTGGGGGGAATTTATCCAAACTGGAGCAAACGAAAACTGGAGCAACTGTGCATGGCAACCAATCAGCTTCTCTCTTCAGTTTCTTCAGTGAAGATTTAACAATGAAAGAGAGAAGCTGATTGGTTGCCATACACAGCTGCTCCAGTTTTGATAAATTCCCTTCAGGGTATATACAGAATTCAAACACTGGAGTCACAAAGTGAACAAAGGAAAGGCGTCTGGCCCATCACAACACGTTCAGGATTTACAATATATCGTCCTGTACACCAAGGGAGACCTACCACAACCCACCAAATATAGAGAAGTCCACTTTGGGTAGTAACGAGGGATGCACCGATACCGGTATCGAGTAGCGATATTACTTTTTCGGTACTCACCGATACCCAGTATTGCAATGCAATAACTCACCACCTGGCTTCCTGATTAGCCGGGAAGCCGGGCGGCGTGTAAAGAATCGTCACCCGGCTTCCCGATTAGCAGGGAAGCCATCCCCATGCTTCTCGTCACTATGTGATGAGAAATCATGGAGCCTCCTTTCTGGCCAATCAGGAAGCCGGGCGCGGTGTAATGACGCGATGCCCTGCTTTCTGACTGGCCAGGAAGCCGACACCATGCTCCCTCATCATGAGGTGATGAGGGAGCATGCAGCCAGCTTCCTGGCCAATCAGGAAGCCGAGTGCCGCGTTATTACAAGGCACCCGGTTCCTGATTGGCCAGCTTCCCCACCAATCAGGAGGGCGGGCAGCGAGTCAAGTGACGAGGGAGCCGGCTTCCCAGCCAATCAGGAAACATCAGGCTAGGCATCGGAGCATTTGGGCGAGTTCAAGTACTCACCTGAATACTCTGCATCGGCACCGATACTAGTATCGGTGCATCCCTAGTAGTCACCTATAATTTTTAGGAGCTATACAATGAATGCAGACACCACATAAAAGGTCTGGTACACTGCAATGTATTCCATTTTTGGGTTACATACACTTTGAGCCAGATAACCAGGCAACTGGCATTTTAGAATAGAAGGCCAACAACAGCATGTCCCCCGTACTTCCCTCATGACAGAATCAATTCAAATACATCATCAGTTTGGCAACAACATGTTCCTGAAAATGAGTGTGGTCCGTTAGCAATGATGATGATTGATCTAGCTATTAAGCCTGATCCAGCCATCCTTCCATACCACAAACGCAGGGTGTAGAGGTTCAGTGAAGGTGGAATGGAAGGTCCACAGGAGTTGGACTGAGTCACACAGCTGGTAGAAGGACAGATAACCAGCATTGTAATCCAGGTAGATTCCCAATCTCCGAATGTCGGATTTGGGATTAAGAGTGGTTGTCAGCGAGTCATGAATCACAAGATAGCCATTCTGTGCCCTGTTCAAGCACCAGGAATGTTTATTGTATCCAATTTTCGACTTTGAGCCCTCGCGGGGTATGGACGCATATGCCATGCCCACCATCCAATAGAATGATTTACTGGTGTCCACTTCCCAGTAATGCCGACCATTAGAGAAAGAATTCTTGGTGAACACTTGGCAATAAGATACGAAACGTTTTGAACTGACAGATCGATTGAGGCCATCAGCCGCCCAAGAAGCAACCTTTTGATCTCCTGAGATGAGGACATTGTTGACAGCCGTGTCAGAATCCAGCAATAGATCCACGGCCTTCGGCATATAAAATGTTTTCTCCACTTTGGACACAAAATCAGATACGACCCAGTACAAGGTCGCCGTGATCAGACCTTCCTCGCACCTCATTTCCAAGCTGCCCTCTTCCTCAACCGCCTTCTCTGCAACACCGGGTTCCTTAAGACCAGCAAAGTCTTTGCCGTCCGTTTTCTTGTCTTGCAAGACGATCAATGGGTCGGCCATCTTGCACAGCACCTCAAGATGACGCATCTTCTCGAACTTCGACTCTTTTTGGGTCTCCAGCTCCTGGATCAGATGCGAGACTTTGGATCCTATTTTGTCTTCCTGTTCAGAGATGACATCCATGACCCAGGCTTCCTTTTCATCCAGCTGTTTCCTGGCGTCTTCAAACATAGACGCGACTCTCTTTTTAACGTCGGTGGACTTTTTTCGCTCATTGGCTTGGCGATCCAGTAGCTTGTGGACTTGTTTCTCAATGTCTCCCACCTGGGAAGTTAGTATATCCAGGACTTTTCTAAGCTTCTCCTTCTTCTTCTTCGTGGCCCCATCCAGTGTCTCCACCTCGTGCGTTCGGTGGGATCCTACGGCAAAGCATGAAGCGCAAATGCAGGAAGCGTCTTCGCAGCAGTGGTATTCCAGGAGCTTGTTGTGGGTCTGACATTTCCTGCTGGCCAGGGAAACGGTGGGCTCGATCAGGACGTGGTCCACGGTGCTGTTGTGGATACTCAGGTGAACGTGACACAAGGAGGTCTCGCACTGAAGACACGTCTTGGCGGCTAGGGTGGGAGCGTGCGCACAGTAAGTACAGGCGACCCCAGACCCCTCCAGCTGTGTTTGAGGAGCGAGGAAATGTTTTGCTATGTTACACAACTTCCTGTTCTTCTCCATGCGGGGACGCTCTGCATACTCCTCCCTGCACTCGGGACACGAGTAGCCGCCCAAATCTTTCTGCACTTCCAGAACGCTTTCAATGCAAACCCGGCAGAAGTTGTGTCCGCACCTCAGCGACACCGGCTCCGTATAAATGTTCAGGCAGACGGAGCAGCTCAGCTCCTCACGCAGCTCAACAGATGCCATCGTGCAGGAAGCTGGAAGAAAATGAAACTCCCGGGGCTCCAGGAAGTGGGCGGGGATCTCTGCCTGTTAAGAGAGCCTGTTTTTTAACCCTTTTATAGCCATGATGCTGTGCCTGCTACTGAGTCTTTACTGGTCAGCAAATACTTGGGTAACATTCATAGACACAACAAAGTTGACGTGTGTGGCGAAGGTGTGGGCAGAACAGAACACGCACCGACATTGAAAGTGGTTCAGGACCCTCAGCACCGGGATTCTTTAATAGGAGGTTCAACAAACCGAGAATTTATTACCACGGAAGGCAAAGGTTGAGTCCACAG